TTTTATAGTAATTAAAAGCCTATTTGAAAATCAAAAAACACTTTATGAAATAAATTAATACAATTGAAATAGTTAGAAATTAACAGTATTAGTAAATTGGTAGTAATTGAAAGAAAATAACAAAAATTGCTTCAATATCAAATGAAGGTTATGTGGAATGATTAGTAGTAATAATATAATCAGTGAATAGTGTTAGAGCCATTTAACTAGATATCATGCTATGCAAGATATTTGTATATAGATAGAAAATGATGATACAATAAATTAATAAATTACTGATTCTACTTAGACAATTAAAATGATGGATATTGAAAATACAATTAGAAAAACTTTGATATTTAAATTGAAGGAAAATTACAAGTTAATGGCTTATGGTTAGTTGATGGCTCTGATTAATCTATCTTATATAATATTTAAATTATGACTTAGAATAAATAACTCGGTCCGGTGGACTATGAACTGGGTATCCGGCCCGGTCGGACCATGAAATGGGATGTACCGTCATTTTTATTATGATATGGTACAGATGTTTATTGGGTATTTGAAAGAACAAGTGGACTGTATGAAATTAATTATAATTATAGTTTAACAGTATATAAAGATGGGGGTTTGGCGTATAAATGTTCTACAATCTGTTTACTTGATGTGCTGAGTACGGTGGTCGCTATCGGTGGTCGGCCGGCTGCTACACTTCTCACCTCCATGTGTCCGGTGGGTCTCGGTGTTCTACTCCATGCCTCTTCCCATGGTAGAACAGCAAGAAAGTAATCTTGAAGAGGCTAGAGTGTTCGTCTACTTCTCGTGGGTTTAGTCGCCCATTTTTTCTCCTACTACTGCTAGTTTTTTGGTGCATACAGCGCCACCGTCGCTGCAATGTTACCAACTTCACTGGTCTTTTATGTACCCCATGAAGGGGGGGGGGAGTAACACCAATTTAGGGTGATCAACCCTAAACAAGTGATTTTCGCTTCGGCACTACATTTAGCTCAGTTGAAAAATTAATTAATACAGGGATGTGGTCCGAATTTAAGGCTGTGATAACGTGAGATGAGAGAGGAAGCCTACAATTTTTGGTGAGTGCAATATCCAAAATATCGGGATTACAGCCTGGTCTATAAAAAGTAGGTTCATTTGGCGTATGGATTTGAATATTGTGCCTAGAACAAATTTCTAGCAAAATATTTCTGCTAGAATTTGATTTACGACAGCCCCAGTGGATGTTTTTACTGTTCATGTCACCTAGAACTAAAGAATGGTCTCCTGATGGCAAGAGTTTTAAAATTTCATCTTGGAGTAGTTTTTTGTTTGGAGTTTTATAAACTGCCGTAACGACTGTAGAGGAAAATGAATGTAAACGAACTGATATGACTTCGATATTTAAAATATTATCAATAATGTTTTCAGTGAAGCTAATATTATTCTTAATTATTAAGGCTACACCGCGGGAAGCAGTCGAACATTCTCGATCCTTTCGTAAGATTTTGTAACCTGGGATTCTAAATGTGATGTTTCAGATAGATGTGTCTCGGTTATGCAGGCTATGTCGATGAAATTTGATTCAAGAAAAATTTTAAATTCATTTCTTTGAGATGATATGCCATGCGCATTCCAGTTTAAAATTTTTAATTTTTTTAGTTCTGCAGTCATATATAAAAAATTAATATTTGGAAATAAATGAAATAATACGTGATCTGGAATAATGCGCAGTTAGTCTTGAACAAGTTAGTAACAGATAAGATAGTGTTTACTTTAGGGTCCATTAGTAAATAAAGAAGGTACGAGCGAAGATAGGTGTGTCATAATTTGTGGTAAATACGGTTTGATAGCATCGATAATAATTTTAGTTATTGTTGACAGTAAATTATCGCCGTTTATTTCAATGTTTTGATTAACTGTGGGCTGAGGTTTTCGTTCCGATTTTTTTGTTATCGGTCTAATGGTGTCGGCGAATGACTGTTTTGAAGTAATTTTGGAGGTAGGTCTAGAAGAAATATTCTCAGTTTTTTGACTAGTTGGCTCTAGAGGTGAATTTACTCTATATTTTATATTTTGATAATAGACGCAACCCTTGTAGGTAGCTGCATGGGCCAATTTACAGTTTACACAAAATGGCTTATCTGTGAATTTTAACGGGCATTTAGAGAAGTGGTGTTTTTCTTTGCAATTTAACGCACCGGGGCTCTAAATGACCATAATTTTTTGTGTGGCCGTACCTCTGACAGTTGGTACACATGGAGATATCATTTTTCTTGTGTTTAGGTTCGACTGTAATTAAAGCAGAAAATAAATTGTTAAGATTGAAAATGTCATTAGCCGTTTCATTGTTTATAATAGACACTGAGCAGAGAGGAGTAGGTTTCTTATCTTTATTCAATATTCTGGAAACGTAAACAACTTCGAACTGTTTGGAATTTAACTCGGCCTTTAATTCATCTTCGGTTATGCTATAAGGGACCTTCCTTATGACAATGTTTAAATATTTATTTTTATCTGAGGAAAATGTGTGATATTCAATTTTTTCTTCATCGTAATATTTAGTCATAGTTCTGTAGTCTTCAATGGTTGATGGCATTATTTTTGTGTTGTTACCGGCCAGTTGCGTATTAAATGGTCCGATACATAATGCATTTAGGTCATTTAATAGAAGTCTGTAATTGTTAGCATTGTGTAAAAATATCGGTGGTATTCTAATATCATTGGATTGAACATTTGGGTTATTTTTATAACTAGTACTTGCTGTAGTGTGCTTATCGGATGAAAGGTCAATTTCAGTAAGATGATTAAAGCTATTGCTTAGTTTAATTGGAGCGATTTCCTGGTAGTACTTGCCCATTTTTTTAACTGGTGATCGGGATTGAGGTGAATCAATAGCTTCATGAACTCTCTTCTTAGAACAGGATTCGTCCGTATGTTGGTCTACGTTCGTTTTAGTAGTGAGGGAAACACCGGGCGAATCACTTAATTCTTTGCCGGGTTTCATTAATTACATTTAAAAAAAAAAGAAGACAAAATACATGAAATAAAATGAATAAATGAAATATAAAAACAGTCCGAATAACTCCACAGTACAACCGCACTCCATGAAAGTCAGAGGCCAACTGACAGCACTTGGAATGGATTAGCTGTAAAAAAGGGCCATTCTTCTAACGTACCTTGTATTGGCATAGCATGTGTTGACATATTTTGTGTTGATGTGCCAGGTTGATTTTAAACGTTAAGAAATATTGTTCCTCAATTTTTTTACCCCTATCTGAAGACGGTTTCATCTTTATGGTCTATGCTTTCTATTGTAATATCTTTTAACTAGGTCTTCATATACCGTAAATCATTTATATTTTCCTTGGAGACTAAACTGTTTCCACATCTTATTTTTTATTGTTTCCACATCTTATTATTGTTGTTATGGTGAAATGTACGACCATCGGTCAACCTGAAAGACAGTAGGTCACTCATTTTTGGAGCCTGTGGTTTCGCATTATTTTTGTGGCCCGTAACACATTTATAAATCCGCGTTCTAACGAGTCTTCTTAGTGAAGGGATCCGAAATTGGCTATGAATGAGAGACTGAACCTTTCCCCTGGTGGTTCAGTCTCTCATTCATTGTTTCCACATCTTATTTTTTATAGTTGTTATAAATCTTTCCGCGATACAAGCTTTCAAATTACTAGAAGTAGAGTAATGAATTATTTGGTTGGATTTCAATAATTTTTGAAAAAAGTCAGATTGCATGTTACGTGGTTTTATACCATCCTGGATTAGGATTCTTCGATCATTTCTTGCGAAGACGTACCTGGTTGGAGCTCAGGTTCTGGCTCTAAAGTGTTCACTTTTAACTTTGGAGGTGTTTCTTGTAGGCAGTGACGAGTTTTTTGCTTGGCTAGTGAACCACGAGGTGTACGCCGTCTGACCGAGTCCTCTTGGGAATTTTACTGGCCATCACTTGGTGATAATACCGCATATTATAAGAGAAATACCAATTAAAAAAAAAAGATTGAACTGTTTTAAATGTGTTTATGCAACTTTTCTAATTAGGGCAAATAACTCTCATGAGTTTCAATAAGGCAACATTCTAATTTATGGGAAACATTCTGATTTTATACAGTGGACTGTATCTTAATGGCTGTAGCAGTCCTCAATTTTACAACCCTAACTACACTGTCGGGCCCTGAAAGTGTCTCTATTATCTTGGCAAGCCGCCACTCCTGCAGTGGAACATCTTTTCCATGCAGAATTACAAGTTTTCCCTCATTTAAATTTTCACTATTAGTATACCATTTTTATCGAGGCACCAGATTATGAAGGTATTCATTATACCATATTTTCCAAAAATTACGAAGAGTCTTGTAAATCGTCTCCCAACGGTTTGTCAAAGGAAACACCGGTGCGTCTTCTTGTTCTGGTCTGGCTAGGAGGGGTGGATTAATAAGAAAGTGTCCTGGGGTGAGGTAATCCAGGTTTTTCGATGGCTGATAAATATGAGAAGGCAAACAGCGTCTGGCAATAAATTTATCTAATGTGGCAATAAATGTAGGAGTGGATAGGTCCGTCACAAGTTATAGATGGATGAAATGGTGAACATGCACACAAAGAGAGCTAACCAACATTTCGACTTGGAGCATTGGTACTGGAAATCTTCATAACAAAGGGGCCGTCATAGTCTATTCCAACTCCCTGAAATGTACGACCATCGGTCAACCTGAAAGACAGTGAGTCACTCATTTTTGGAGCCTGTGGTTTCGCATTATTTTTGTGGCCCGTAACACATTTATAAATCCGGCTTCTAACGAGTCTTCTTAGTGAAGGGATCCGAAATTGGCTATGAATGAGAGACTGAACCACCAGGGGAAATTCGTCAAGGTTACTCATATTCCTGAATCGGCTGTGAAGATTCACTTTTCAAAAAAAAAAAAAAACGCAAGAAGTTCTGATTAGTTTAGGCAATGCGGATACAACTAAAAATAATTTTTATCGCATGTTAAGGCCACAGGAAATCACCTAAAATGATCTATAAGTCCCGCAATATCAGTCTGGAGCTGCGGACCGGTCAAAAGCAAGTCATTGAGTGAGTTTCCTCCCACTATCTTCTCCGAACCATTAAATATGACTAAGTTTTGTCGTGGAAGAATCCTTAATGACTCCATGATGGTTTGTGAAGTCGTGACGTATGGAGAAGGGTTCTTGGCGAGGCGGATATGATCCAATCTTATATATTCATCCATCTGTGCAGCATAGGCAGACTTATACTCCGGATCTCATCTAAATCTATTTTCCAGATTTCTAAATCTGCTTAGAACTATCTCTCTGGTAGAATCAAGGTCATTCTGCTGGTCAGAACGGAACGGAAGCGAAACAACGAATATTCCATGAAGATCACGAGTGCATGTATTTATAAAGTGATATTCGCAAAATGCATCTTCAGGATTCGGTGGAATCGAAACTGTGACTTCCTCAGTCTCCCAAAATCGCTTTAATTCCGCCTGTAAGGAAGGGCTGGTCTACGTGAAAAAAGTACGTATTGAAGATATAGGGCTTTGGCTTTCCGAGAGGGTGTCCTCAAATAATACCCATCCTAATGAGGTATGAATAGCTTTCGGTTGACCCTTAAGAAATAAAGCAGGGTCATTTAAAACCTCACCGTACATCAGATACCCAGAAGCAAATTAAATTTTCCAGGCGTATGAAATTGACCGTCTGCTGGTTCTATTGACGCAAAATGTACTCCGTACTTTTTGGGACACGCCAAACGAAGGCAATCTTTATTCAATCATGCAGGGCAATATTCTGGCTGAAAACTCATATACATTTCTACTTTTCGTCGAACCCAACTTCACTTTAACCTCAGTAGATGACGAAGATATGGAGGTATTGCCTACTCTAAACACCAAAAGAGGACTAACCCGGCAACGAAGGCACAACTTTTTCACTAGATCAGTGGTAATTAAATTAATTTGTGAACCTGGTTCCATCACCATTCTGCATGAATACCACTGACCTGAACTTGAACAAATTCTACCTTACGCTGTACTCAGAAGTACCTGTGAGTTGGTGGTAGGGTGGCACGAAACTGCCAGAACCTGCTGTTTGTTACTTGTGACTGCGATGGCTCAGTGTTTGCAGCTTTATGTAACATTGTATGGTGACTCATTTTTCCACAAACTTGGCAACAGCCCTTACTTTGGCAATTCGGCAAGCGATGATGTCACGTACCAGAAAAGCATAAATCAGGCTTCTTTAAGAAGTCATAATGACTATTAACATCAGTAAATAGAATATACCAATCCTGGCACAGGTCATCGGTCCAAGATGGAGGCGCCCATTACCCGCCAAAAAATTTGGCCTTTAAACACTACGGCGTTCACATTAAATCTCTCAAAAATTGTGACCTTTAAACACTGTTGCGTTCAATTTAAATCGCTCAAAAATTGTGACCTTTAAACACTGTTGCGCTCACTTTAAATCGTTCAGTAATTTTAGCCTTTAAACACTGTATCGTTCATTTTACCCCTTAAACTCTGTTTTATTTATTTTAAACTGTAGCCTTTGAACATTATACAGTCTGTAAAGTAGTGAATACTAATACTGCATATTATTTATTACACTTGTAGAAATTTAAATGGATAACATGAGGGGGTATTTTTATTTTAAAAAATGGTTTATTTGTATAAGAAATATACTATTACAAAGAATTATCATGCATATTTTAATAATTATGTGCATCTTTCTTGGTTCAGCTTACAGCTTTAAGCCCTCTCGCCACGTCAAGGTAAAGATGCATCGAGAGGGTTCAGTGGTTTACGGGCGTTTATAGCCTCGCCAGTGACCACAACTTGCATACATTGGTTTACGGGCATTTATAGCATCGCCAGCAACCAAATGATACACACACATACACGCACACATTGGTTTATGAGTAAATCAATACTACGTCAGTGACCATAACATATATACTTTTGGTTTACAGGTAAATCAATACCGTGTCAGTGACCAAATTACACACACACACACACACACACACACACACACACACACACACACACTATTTTTTACGGGTAAATCAATACCACGCCTTTGACCAAAATGCAAAAGCAAAAACAAAAAAAATCTACTAAAAAATAACAAACTTCTTAATACAATTAACATAAAATAAATAACTAATTGAAACATTTCTTTTTTTAATATTTTTTCATTTTCATTTTCATTTTTTTTTTAATTTTTTATATATATTTTATTTTATTTTTAAAATTGTATTCTTATTTTTTCAACTCGGCCAATTCATAATGACCATACGCCAAAGTATTGAGTATTGATCCCATCTTCTAGTATATGTCTTTTATCGTCAATTGGAGACAGAGAGACTTTATTTATCTCGGTACTAAAAATATTATGCTTCTTTGATTGTATTGACCTCATAGGCGTATGCATAATTTCATTCATGACACTTTTACACCCTTAGCACGCTTCTTTACACCATCTTCCATCATAACAGCGTACATTTTGGCTCTTAACCCCACATATTTTAGAACTATTTTGGCATTTAACTCATCTTTAAACTTTCCTAACTTTTTTTTATTTTCTTCTGAGAAACAGAAATGATTTTTAGGATAATCAGAGAACTCGAAATAATGATGCATTTTTTTCATATCTTCAAAAACATCAACTGTTAAAACTCTATAAATAAGCGAATCTGTGTCTGTATACATCATCTTTAAGTTATTATTAGAATATTTTTTCAACACTGTATCATAATGAAATTGATACATTACAGTTATGGATAAATCTAATATGCACATACATGCATATACACTGATATGGGTTTGTTAAACAATACTTTCGATTTTCCCATATGCACAGCTACTATATTCTCATTGTAGATTGCCCGGTCTATAAAATTTGGCTTAGTAATGAGTTTCATTAATATTTTACTGTTAGTTACTAGCTGAATATTTTGGTGATTTCTAATATTTTCCATAGCCTTACCAACAACTGCATTGTTCAGTAACTTATAAAAATCTTTTTCAAAGTTATTGCAGGCTATTTTTCTCAACTCTGTATTGTATTCTACACACGAGCGAAGCCATGGTGATTGGTTAAATTTTAAAGCACGATGAATTTTTTCTAATTTTAAGCCGTGTTTTAAGGCCTGTATCAAATTTGTATAATGGAGGACGTAGCGATTTCTTTTTCCGAAGTGAGTTATTAATCTTTTTGAATTACTCATCTTGCTTGCGGTGGTACGATTGATTCAGGTAAAAAGGGCAAATCGTTATGAATATGATGCAGTTCTTTAGGATAGCTAATATCAATTTCGAAAATATATCCGACTTCATCTTCGTTCTCAAGGTCGAAAATGTTTATAGATTCAGGATTTTTAACCCACTGGAATCCTCCATACGGTAAATACATGCTCATTGATTGGCCATAAAGATTATTCGCATCTAAATAAATTATGTAGCTAGATTCTTCGTTTGAATTGAAGTTACTCATATATTTATTATTTGCTTCTGCATACCGGTGTGATACTTGACATAACCCTCCTCGAATTCAATGCTCGTAAACCATAAGAATGTATGCTGGAAAATATTAACAACGATATTATATCAACAATCTTCCTCGATGTACACACACCTTGACGTAGTGATAAAGCAAATTCTAAATTATATGTAGAAAACTAAGATGAGTGCAAAAAAAAAAAAAAATGTTAGAAATGGCTAGAAGTGGTTAAATTAGGGATGACATGTTAAAAATCGTTAGTTGAGATAGGAGTTCTGCGCATGCGCTTGATTTGAATACCCACATTTCACGTCGTGTCCCACAGTTTTACTATTTTTTAGTAGAATAAGTGCTCAGTTTTACTTTTTTTAAAAAAACTAGTTAAGCAGACATCAAAACAACAACAATGGACTAACACCACAGTGAGTAGTGTTGTTATTTACTGTATACTATTACAGACAGTGAATTTAGTGATTTAGCGTCTATAGGCTTAATCTCTATAGCCATAACAGCTGACGGCTCCCCTCTCCAGTTGTGGCCCTGCCACGTAACTGGCTGGTTCTCAGCCGGTGGTTCATCCATTGTAATAACACGCAGACGTAGTTTTATTTATTTATTTTTTTTTCCCCTTTCTTTTTTTTTTATATGCGATATTACCACCAAGTAATGTCAACTAAGAGGTCCCATTCAGTTGGCTCTACCCCACGTAATTCACCGCCTAAACAGAAAACACGTCGTAGTAAGCGATTAACACCCCCCGGAACTCCTCCAGCGAACACTCAAGAATCTGTGTCTCAACCACTGCCAAGTACGTCTTCACAAGAAATGGAATCTCCATTTTTTACACCTAATCCATACCAGGTGCTTGAAAATGACAGGGAAGAAATGGAAGATGCACCTATACCTCGAGAACCACGCCCACCTCCTATCTTTGTCAAAAATTTGAGAAATTTCCAGTTGTTGTGTACTCAACTTAATAAAATCTGCCCAGGTAGCTATACATGCCTAAACAGAATAAATGATACAAAAATAATACCGGCCTCACCTGAAGCTTACCAAAAAATCGTAAAATATTTAAGAGACACAAATGCGGACTTTCACACATACCAGTTGAAACAGGAAAGAGCACTACGAGTTGTAATAAGAAATTTACATTCCTCAACCCCAATAGAAGTGATTAAAGAAGAGTTAACGGCGTTAGGGTTCAAAATACGTCAGATAACCAATGTTTTAAAAGAAAATAAAGAACAACCAGGTGTAAAGAATAAAATCCCATTGCCCTTATTTTTCGTCGATCTAGAGCCATCGCCTGGGATCGAAAAAATATACGATGTGAATAGAATTTTCTACACCAGCGTAAAGGTCGAAAAACCGTACCCAAAAAGAGAGTTCATCCAGTGCCATAATTGCCAAGCATATGGCCACACCAAGTCTTATTGCCACCACTTACCACGCTGCGTGAAATGTGGTAAAACACACAAGTCTGGCGAGTGTAATAAACCAATTACAGAACCAGCAGTCTGTGACCTATGCCTGGAAGGCCATCCAGCCAACTACAAAGGCTGCCAAATTTATAAAAATCTTAAAGCGAGATATATGAAACCCAGGGACCCTGATGATACACCTAAACCAAGAAGAGGACCCGCTAAAATTGTGAACTCTAAGGTTTCTTTTGCCAAGCTACTTAGGGGTAGAGACCCGACTAATGTATGTGAGGCCCTGCCGCAAGAACAAACTCAACCCCAATCTCAATATCCTATCCCACCTAATGTACCTAATCAACAACAACCTCACCAACATCAAATCCAATATGTTACTCCACCGCCTAATGCTACAGATCTAACCAGCTTATTGACATCCTTTCTTTCAGAATTTAAATCCCTTGTTACCCCACTGATATCACTTCTCACTAACCTAGTATCTCACCTTATCCCTCCTTTAAAAAATCCTTAAATGACTTCCATCAAACCCATATCCATTCTCCTTTGGAATGCGAATGGTGTTAGAAATCACATACACGAACTAACAGCCTTACTACAAGACAAGAACGTAGACGTAGCCCTAATAACGGAAACTCGACTGACTAAAAAACAGCTCCTAAAAATACCACAATACATAACTTACCGTACCGACCATCCTGACGGTAGAGCACATGCCGGTACTGCAGTCATTGTGCACCAATCCCTCTCCCATCACCTACTCCCACTGCCTACACACGATTTCCTACAATCCACCGCAGTCGTAATCAAAACCTTCTCCTTTCCTATTACCGTTGCATCAGCGTATTGCCCTCCAAACCAATCCATCTCCAATATCCAATTTAGTTCCTTCCTCATTTCCTTAGGACATCATTTCATCTTGGGTGCAGACTTAAACGCCAAGCATCAACAATGGGGTTCAAGAACCACGAATTCTCGTGGTCGAACATTGCTGTCTGTACTCAATTCCCAAAATTTTACCCTTCTTCCACCCAACTCACCTACCTACTGGCCCACTGATCC